CGTGAACCTAGAAGTGAAGTGGGGTCTCATCACTTTGATCAAGCAGACCGTCGACCTATGCGATGAGCTTAAAAACGTGGACCTGGAGTGCCCTCTTGAGAAGGGCGAGATGATTCTGACGAAGGAAGTGGACTTGCCCAAGCAGATCCCACCGGTACGTCGTGTTCAATCGTTTCAGAGCCAGGCAAGCAGCTAATGTCTTTTTGCACAGGGCAAATACTCCGTTCTTGCTGATGCTTACAACAAGGAGCAGAACCAGGTCACTTGTCTCAAGGCAGATGACATTGTGTTCCACTTCTAATCCTGTCTGTTTTAGACATTGCTTTGCATCCACTCACCGGGTGGCATCTCTCGATTTGCTGAACTGTCAACATCATTAGCTTATGTGCTTGACTCAGGTGCCAAACATCCGCAATGCTCTTTTCCATGCCCTTCTTATGACTATTCGATATTCGCATCCGTTGTTTCGAGTTCTATAACGCTTTGCAGTACATTCAGATATCATTTGGCTTTCTCGTTTCTACGCTCTTTGCATCTGTTATCCCTTTTTACAATCGTCTGTTTACAACACAATGAGCACGGTACTGTAAACCTGACAGCTACATCTGTCTGTGGCTATAATATACAATCAAGTCATCTCCACTGACCACTACGTATGCTAAATAGATTCCGTATAGCTGGGAAGGGGATATATAAAGGGTATACGAAGTCGTTCCAGTTGCGTTGGGTATATTCCCTATCTGATATTTCCATGTTTGCTTCCCAATTATACTCAAGCGCCAAGATCATCAATGACGGGACCGCAGGTGTCGTGTAAACCCTGGAGGCGGAACGGCTAAATGACAAAGACAAAGATTCACGTAGAACAACATTACTCTCCAAACAGGCGGCGCACACGTTTGAGAACACTGTCCTTCTCTGGGTCGTAGGGGTGGTCTTTGCTGGGGATTTCGAGGACAGCTGGGAAAGGATCGGCGAATGCGTCGACGCTATGGCGGATGCGTTCTGCGATCTGTGGTTGAGGCGCCCGTTAGCGAATATGTAGGCATTGAGATGGGAGCGCTGGAACTATTTAGCGCAAGATATGGAAAAGCAACTCACATGCTGGTTAATCAAGAGCACAGCAATGTCTTTCCTCTCCTGGGTGAAGTTCTGGAACGCCCGTTCGATCTCCGAGGTCTCAGTTTTGGAGTCAACGACAAGGAAGTTTCTCTGGGAGTCAGGTGGTTCGGTGACATGCTGTAAAAAGAGCCATTAGGTTAGGATGGCTTTTCATATAAAGGTCATAAGAGACGGGACGTAGATGGGTTAGTGGACAGTTCATACCCCGATGCCTGCGAGCAAAAGGCCAGTAACGGAGCTGCGTTATAGGTTGAGCTAGGTCAGCTAGGCACGATCTTTTCGAGGCGAGCAATTTGGAAGAAGGGTCTTTACTCTTCATCACCAATGACAGCAAGGAATTGCCGCTCCTGGGGTCCCGAGTTAGCGATCGGAGGGGTCATTCCATTGAATCGATGTCAAGTACCTTGTATGTTGCGGCCGATGCCGCCATGATGAGGGGAAAGAAAAGAAAGACCCGAAATTTCCAAGACACACAATCTTCGAACTGGAAGTCCGAGATAGATCAAGTAAATGACAGATCTGGTCCAGCTGTCCGTTGATCGCCGTGGTTATCGCCGGGAGCTGCGAATATTACATAAGCTGATGCAAAGGGTTCCTCAGATTTGTTTACTCCAGGGCTTCAATGTCCGCAAAACAACCGTGACCTCTGACTCGACCGCCCCTGACCTTTGATGCCCTTGCATCATCTCCTTGATTAGGACGAAGCTGCTGAGGAACAGCTTCCGTCTACTACGACCCCCATCCTCTGACATCATGCCTCGACTTGTACGCCGCCGCCCGCTCTCCGAGCGCATACTCTCACACTTCAATCCATATGACTTTCTGCTTTGGCTTTCTGAGGAATTTGAAGGCGGTGACTGGGACCAGCTGGAGAAATACTGGGCTTTGCCTATTGGTATTGCGCTCAACGTGATATTCCTGATTGTGCGAGCAAATAGTCAGTCCGGTGGTAGCAAGGCTTTTGACGATGTGTTCGGCGAGGACGATGGCACATCCCTGCTTGGGTGGCTTGTACGTTACTCTTCCCCCGTCTTTATATTTCTCATGTTGCCTACCTATTCGCGAGATTGATGGAAAGCTAATCGGCCGTGATTGTTGTACTTAGGCCTCATTCATCGTCCATTTGATGGCCGTTGCCTCTACGGCCAATGCTATCTACACCTTCCAGAAGACGAGACAATATCGCCTCTTTGAGAACTCTATTGATAACAACCCGGCGACACCATCAGCACATCGTGTACGCGTTGATTCCAGCCCCATGATGCCGTCTCCTCTGCGATACATTGCGAAGGCGCTATCAACAGAATCGGCACACTCGAGAGCCCACCCCGATGCACAGCGGGACGTCTGGGAACTTGCGATTTGGGATCCTTCGCCACTTTGCCTCCGGCTCTTTTGCCTATTCAGCCCGGGGCACGTCTTGGTATACTGGTTGTTCCTCCCGACGCAGCTTTCCGATCCACGGCCTAGCGTGACGATTGTGACAACAATCGTTTTGACAGCTCTTCTGTCTGTGCAGATGTCCTTCATTTCTTCTTCTTATACACAGCAAGCCAAGGACCAGAAGGTTGTGCACAAAGAGGTCTTCAAAGAATATGACACTAAATATGTACAACCTCGGACACATCCCTTGATGAGAGATGTCGGCACTCAGTTCTCGGATCCGTATGGTGAACCACCAAAGACCGAGGAGGAGTGCAACAGGGTCGAGACTTACAGCCCGGCCCACATCATTAACCGTGGTTTCAAGACCAGTCCCAACCCTAATTACCTGAAGCACGTCGACCCAGAAGGTTTCACCCCGGTCCGCCAGTCGACTGCATCTACTCTGATCTCGTCTATGTCCCAGGGACCACCGACCAAAACCCCGAGCGTGTCCGGAGATGGCTCCCCGATGGCTCGAGGTGCTAGTCGCACAACAATGCGGCAACCGCAGTTCCGATCTACTGCAACAACAACAGGTGATGGAGGAAGCCTCGGTGTTTACAGCCACGCAAACTCTCCACTGAGGAAGTCTGCGACAACTTCATTTGATCGCCGCTTACAAAACAACGGAGATTTTGTTTACAAGGAGCGTGGTACAACTCCCTTGATGCGGAGCTCCAGTCCGCTGAAAAGAAGCAGTGTACCGGGAGGCATGAACCCAGGTGGCCCAGCAACCGTCAATAGATCAGATAACCTCAGCAATCGCCGAGAAACGGGCCAGTTCTAAGACGAATGAATGACCAAAATCCATTTCCACAAGCCCATGGAACTTTGCCGACCGAGATGCGCAGTTTTCTCCGAGACATGCGCGGTAATGACGCGATAGCAGCACCCTTTGTACATATATCCCATCCTTAATTGAGGCTATGCCTGATACATCTTTACATCTGATGTCTGTTTCATGGTATCCACACACGTTCGCCACACTGGGGAATGCAAGCTGCTCATCTAGGGCAGCCTACTGACATTAGGTTCCATGCCATTTCTCTTGTTTCCGAGCGCTCAACGTTGGCCTTTGATTTGATTGAATTGGTCATTGTATTCAACTCAATTGGCGGATTGCTTGCCTCGGAGTTCTTAAGATATTCATGTTACCATCCTCGTCGGAGCGGAGATGCTTTTCCAATCTCCCAGCAGACTACGGATTTGTGAACGGCGAGTTTATAAAGGCTAGTTTATAGAGGGAGAGACCCACTATCCGCCTCGCCCCCGGCGGGCAGTGCATAGCCGCCAGTGCGGCATATCGTATTAGATATGTAAAAAGACTACCTAAGGAGACTACTAAAAGGGCTAACTAAAAGGCCATAAAAAGACATATAAAAAGACTATCGGAGAAGACCACTAGACTGCGGCCATATAAGTGGCCGACTATTCTTGTCTATAATATCTCAATTTCTACAATATCTCAATTCCTACAATATCAACTTCTATAGTGTCATTTTCCACACTATTAATTTCTATCAATCTATAGTCAATAAAATATACGTATACTTATTTTATCCAATGTTCTGCTGGCAAAATCCGATATGGCGCGCTGGCGGCTAGGTACTGCCGTACCCGCGGTCTGAAGGTAGTATGGCTTCCCCTTAGGAGCTTATCGAGGGCCAGTGTGTCGCTGTTATACATGTGATGTTCCGATTAAGGAGGGCGACGGACGTTATTTTGCATACATATGTACTCCTTCGGTAGCCTTCCAAGGTTACCGCAATGCTTCGATCATATCGCATTGTTGTCTCTTGCAATTTCTGCATTTGACACCGGAATTGCCAGCTCCAAGCTCAAAACAGGAGAGGATTTAGTTCTTGTTTCACTCTGAAATTGCTCAGATATTGCTCTCAACGTATCTCATCACATCCCTCTAAGGATTTCCTTCCCTTGCAATACCACCGACACAAGACAATGGATTCGGCCACAGGCGACGCCACTGAATCAGATATCTGGATCGCACTTTCTTCTCAAAATCCAGCCCTCACAACTGCCATGCACAGATGATGCAATTCATTCTTGAAATGTGGGACTCAGAGGAAACTGCCATTCCAGATGGCTGGTCATTTCAAACTGCATTCACCCCAGGGGTTGGCATTCCTCATCACCCACTTGGCATTCCGACGAACGAGAGCACATTATTCTTACGCGTTATGAGCGCGATCACCTATGAAGATCTCTCACTAGCCAGTCTTTTTGGATCGCCCCGCTCCTCTGAGTCTACCGTATCCTTCGACAGCCGCCGACCGACATAGACCTTTGCTCAGGAAAACCAACACAGGGACAGACTAATCACTTCACGCTCTTCGCTCCTCGCTCATACACGGCATGGGCTAGGACAACTAGTCACTGTGCTGTGCCTGTAGCATTTGCAACCCCGACTACAATCGCTGTCACCTCAGCCCAATATGGACGAAGCTCATGTCAAACTGCCCGATGGACACCTTGTGAATCTCTCACCACGACCGATACGCCAAGGTGCCTACAAAGCGTACCGAGCAGAGTACAAGCCATCGACGGAGGCCTCGGCAACACCTCCACCCCGATACCTGCAAGAAGGAAGATCATCAGAATACGCTGTTTCAGGAGGCGCATCGGGGAATATCTCGCAACTGCCAAAAGCTACCAAGCTGCCGGTCCCGAGGAGTCTCGCCGAAAGTCGTAAAGATGATTCGAGTCGAACGCCTAGTCCCACTGCACTTCCTAAACCGTCCCCAGCCAGCCACTCCTCGGAACGGCTCGGTGACCAGTCTAGATCATTAGACAAAGGCCACGATCAATACTGGAGGAAAATCCGTGATAAGTTGGAGGAGTCGCCGTTATTAACCGGACGTGCCAGGAGCAAGGAAGGCAACAATAACCATTCTCCCAACTCGCGCATATCCTACCACCGCAGCAGACTTCCCGCCTGCACTACTCCACGATCGAGCATCCCGAGCCCAGGCACTGTCAATAGCAGTCCCGCGCAAGGGTCGAGGAACAATGCTTCCACCACCCTTCCTATGGACAGCCAAAACAAATGGCGGAAGCAAGACGACCAATGGGTGCTCATGAATGTTACCGAAACCACGTCCCAGAAATCAGCGGGGACACAAGCGACGACTGATTCCAGCCCTCGATCTCATCCCTCCGTTTCGCCAGTGTCCGCCGAGAACAGTTCTGTCACTGACTGGGAAGACCGATTCGTTGTGAATATGCCAACTGCAAAAGATCCCAGTCCGCCAATGATGACGGCTCAACAGATTGCCGAGTATCAAAGAAGCATTGAAAGGGTACACCGGGACGGTGGGCAAATGGCAGACCCGGACACAGTGCCTAGTCGTAACGTGTCTCCCGAGATCAGATTCAACCCCAGCGAACAAAAAGTACAGAGCCCAAGGGGTGTCATCACATACGACGGGGCGTATGACGGGGCGTATGACGGGGCGTACGACAGACCTCAAGTGCCGAGCTTCTCGCGAGATGAACGTTGCCCATCGCCGCAGCCTCAGCAAGATGCTCAGCTGGAGCAACTTTCACAGCCTCACCCCCAGAAGCCCCAGCCCACGACTGCGTCGCAACGTCAAATAGCCAACCGCTACTACAGCCCGGATGAAATCGGGTGTAATCGGATTAGCACAATTTGGGAGGAATCGCCCACGAAACCCAAGGAGAAGCGACGCCCCCAAAACGCGGACGGGTCTTTTTTAGGGTGCAGGGAAATATCCGGGGAGAAGAATCCAGACGAAATCCTCAGGTTCGCTTCCCCAGACGATGCCAGTCTCCATCCACTCCCATTGGCCCTGGGTTCCAAAAACAAGCAAAAGGTGTCGAAGGAAGTGAAGAAAGCGACAGACCGAGAAGCCACGCACAGAGTCGAGGAGACGACAATCCTTCGAGAAGAGCGACCGCAAAATTCTCAGAATTCGAGACCTGCCCAATGCTCGAAGCCGTTTGCCAGGTACCGGGATCGGAATTGCTCCCAGAACCCATCTCCAATTCCGCGGACGAGGTCCCAGGATTCAAGCAAGGAGAATTACCATCCTACCAGCAATACGCCTGCGGGGTCCGGAAGCCTGGAAGAAAGCCGGGGGGACGACGATGTGTTCATTATCACACCCACTATCACACGCACTATGATTCCCATGCCCGACAAGAAAGCATCTTCGCCAAAGCCGCAAGGGCTGCGTCGTCCTGGTGGCACAAATCACATAGTCACCGCCGAGGCGATCAAGGCCGTCCGGGCAAAGGCTCAGATGATTTCCACACCACCGGGATTGCGGCCCGGGGAACCCACCGTGGATATCAAGCCAACAGGTACCTTGACAACGTCTCAGACGCTGCCGGTCAGCAGCATCTCCACAACAGCCAAAGACGAAGAGGAGGAGGATCGGAAACAAGATCATGTGCAAGATCTCGCTCCAGAACGAGGAGCAGGTACAACGTCGAATACTATCCGTGGCTTCATCCGTACCTCCGGGCTCGCAAAACCGTCAGGGCTAGTCAGATCACCTACGGATAGCCTTGCTACAATACTGCGCAACAGGACCGAGTCCCTTCGCACACGCGCCGAATCTCTACGGAATGGTTCCGGGTCTCTCCAGCGTTCGAACCAGAAGCAATCGCCAAGTCCTCAACCAATTCTTCCGTCCAGGGACAATTCGGAATCATCACGATCGGAACGGTCATTTCAGTCCATCAAAGAAACCTCACCCGTCCCGGCAAACAGGCCTCCTTCGCCGCCAAAAGTCGCCACGACGGGAAATAAACCAGAGGAAAATAAGCAGCCCTCCTCACGACCACCTGCCCCAAGCAAACAAACAACGAAAAGAGTGACCTTGTCAGAGGAACCTCCATCGTCAGCAAAACCTGATAAGCCCCGTACGTCAACAAAAAAGATTTCCGCACTAGCAAAGCCGTCAAAATTGGACAAAATATGCAAGTCTACATCTATAACCCCACCCGCGTCTGGAAAGTCTCCTTCTCCTAAGGCGAAGACGCCCGATGCTTCACAAAAAAAGGAAGAGCAGGTGAAGGCACTGCCTCGTCTCCATACTTCCGGTAAAGTGTTGGAAATCGCCGAACTAGATGGGCTTCAGGTTGCAAGTCCTAAGGAGTCTCTTCAATCCAACATCACAGACGTCTCTGCCGATCTAGGTGACATGCACTCTGAAGACAAGGCTGATTCCGACGGCCAGGGACTCAACCCCTTGGCCTTTTCACTTCTTTTCAATATTCTTGTTGTTGCTGTCACCCAAGTGAATAAAGTTCTCCGAATGGGCATCGACAGCCCTTATGCCAAATTTGTGGTCAATAAGACCCTGAACATGACCTGTCACTGTTGGCATGTCTCCAAATGCATCTACGCCACGGTGTCTCACTACCAGGCCACAGGCGCCTGGCCCAAGCCTCGCAGTGACCAGGCTATCAGCAGGTTCATGGTGGAACTTCTTCAAGCCATTGTGTATCTCTTAATTCTTGGGTTTACAGCCATGCTGATAGCCCGTACTATTGGCTACGTCGTTCTCGTGAGCAGTTGGATTGCATGGTTTGCCAGGCCATTTGCGTGGGTCTTTCAATGTGTTGGCCGTGCCATGATAATGTAAATTCAGCCAGACCGTCAGCTGTATGCTCGCACAAAAATGTTTCTCTGGAGGTCTCGAGTTTGGAAGTGGGACGTTGGTCGCTTTTGGTGCTTTCGGGGCTTTGTCCTGGTCTCGAGCGGTTCTACCTACTCACCTACCTAATTGTGTCTTTCGGCTATATTCCTAGCGCATCATTAAATAGGTCTCAAACTTGGATGTTCTATATGAAACTATTTATCATTGTGTATGCCAAGGGACGTAGAGGTAGACAACAACTTGCATTGATATTGATATTCTCGACCCGAAACCGAGACAAAACCTGAAGACCACGAGCACACAGGGATGAGCCTGATCCAGCGTCGACCCTCCCATGTTGTAGAGGGAAATAAAATAATGTCTGACTTTGTTGTGTCCCTTAAATCCAGAATTCAATCTTGTGTATGATGTTTCCCTTTTGCTGTCAAAAAAAGAATGAAGACAAAAAAGACCGAACTCCGTCATCCTGGTGTTAAATGGTCCTGTATGCTATCCCGGAATAATCTTGCAAAAGCAATGCAAAGGCAGAGAAAGATAACGAATCTAAACATAGAAAGTTCTTTTCTCAAACATTTTCCATGCGGATGTGCGTTGAGCAATCCTTTTTTCTTTTCAGTTCATGCGAACAAGGTATCCACGTAGCCAAGGTGCAATTGGCGTTTCGTGAGATAAAAGCAGCATTCAAGAAAAAAGCAAAAACTGAAACAAGAGCAAAAGAAGGCAGAAGGCAAAAAGGCAAGGGAAAAAAGCAGGGCTAGGCTACTACCGTAGGTAGTTATAGCCGCCACTGCCAGCTCTATGAATTGAGACCAAGCGCAGAAGGAAAACAAAGATAAAAACGGAATGGGCCGTAAGGGCAAAATTATGTTGAATTTTTGTTCTTCTTCCATATTTTTAATTCGTCCATTCTTCTGAACTGGATTAGACCAAACAGAAAACATGAAATAGTCCAGAAGAGAAGCACCGGGCCCCGAGAAAGAATAGATCCGAGAAAATAAAAGAGAATCCGATCGACGAAGCGCCATTGTTAAAAGAGACGGGGTATCGGTACATTATGTTGAAATGAAAACGCTGAGGAAGAAATCGTTGAGAGGTCTTCAGTCGTGACGCCATAAGACATTGCAGGGGGAGCCCGAGATGTGTTGGAGTAGTTGTTTGTATGGGCTGTGTTATCGTTGAGATGAGGGATGTTGAATTAGGTAAGATGTTGAGTTGTTATGAGATGTTTGCAAAGATGGCATACAACCGAGGTACGGGGTCGAGGGTGTGAATGGGTAGCAACCAGTTCTGAGTCAAAGGGAACTGGCTTAGTTGGCAGAAGCGCCATTTGGTTCGGCGTGGCCGTTGGTCAATGGCCTTCCGGGCACCTCGACATTGAGGTCTTTGATCTCGAGGCCATTGAATAATTCAAAGACAGCATTAGATCTGTGGAAGTCGTTGTCGACGATATTGACGAGATACCAGTCGTCCATAACATGCTGAATCAGCTGGCGACTAGGGCTCGCTGCGTCATGACACTTGGACCAGTGCTCGCCCAAGAGGTATGCCTCATCCTTCCAGGCCAAGAAACTAACTGTCTCGACGATTGTGGGCTGGATGATCTCTCGTCCAGCGAAGATACCCCATGTCAGGGCATTCGGGCTGTCACGTGTGTTGGTCTTGAGCTCGCCCTTCCTGTTCGTGGCGTGGTAGGTCAAATCATCGTTCTTCTCGATGCGTGTGATGAGCTCATCGATCAAGTTGGAGGGCACCAGAAGCTCAAGGTAGGCTTTCTGGTAGACGAAACCATTCTTCGGGCCCCATCCGTATACGGGATGAGATGACTTAACTCCATTGACAGCGGGCTGAGAGTTGATTGTCAGGAATCCGCGCTGGTTCAGTTTGAGCAAGTCCTCCTGAATTTCGTGGGCTTCGGTCGTGATTGGTGAGTCACTCCACGGTAGTCGGTCAAGCTTTCCCGTCAAGAAATTCACAAAGATGTCCGAGATATCTTTGATCGATTTTGGCTCGCCCCAAAGTTTAATGTTCTGCTCATTTGTGCCCTTCAGGCCCACGCCGTAAGCGTCGAGTTCACCGAACGCCGGTGAACGAGAATCGGTCCAGCGACCGTTAGGGTACTCGTCCCATGTCTGGGTACGAGCAACGTATGATGAGTTTCGGTTGCGCCAGAACACTGGCCGCACATCCTCTGATCTTCGGCCAAGGCCAAGGGAGGGCCGCCAGGGCAGTGCGCGCTGAATTGGGGACTCTTCCGACGGGGTAAGTTCGAGCTCTTTGAGAACCAATTGAGTCGCCTGAGCCAGGTTCATTGTATAGCTACAACTTGTTAGGACATGTCGGGATACCAGGAGTTGAGCAGTGTAGTAGAGCAAACTTACAAATGCAGGTGCTTGATACCAGCTGCGATCAGCTGCCTGCACATGTTGGCGATCAGAGTCTTTCCGATATCTCGAACCGCAGAATCATCGTTCTTGATCGGTTCAAGGGCCTCCATCCACTCAGAAGGCACCTTAACCTTGGTCCAGTTGGACCGACGAATGAAAGAAGCGTATGTCTGAATGGGCATGATACCGGGGATGATGGGGACATTGATGCCCTTGGCTCGGCACTTTTTCACCCATTCGATGAAGTTATCCGCGTCGTAGAACATCTGAGTGACGACAAAAGAGCTGCCCGCATCAACCTTTTCCTTCAGGTGGTCGATCAATTGGTCCACATCGGTGTTGTCATCGGCGCCCTCGGGATAGCCGCCCACGCCAATGTCGAAGTGGTTGCCATACTTTTGCCGAATGTATTTGACCAGGTCCTTCGCATAGCTGAATCCATTTTCCGTGGCCTCCCATGCCTCCTTTTCTCGCGGTGGGTCTCCCCGAAGAGCCAGAATATTGGTGCAGCCAGCTTTGTAGGCAGCTTGGAGCGCTTGGTCAACTTTCTCCACCGGCATATCTGTGCAAGTCAGGTGCATGCAGGTCTCCAAGCCATATACCGATTGTGCCACGCTGACCATCTCGCAAGTCAGATCCGACAAGCGACCACCAGCACCCCAGGTGATATCGATGAATGAAGGACCCAACCCATGCATGCGGTCCATTCGGTCATAAAGATTCTGTACACCCTGGGCGGTTTTGGGAGGGAAGAACTCGAAGGAGATTCCAGTCTTTCCCTCCGCCTCATTTTTGGCAAGCTTCTCTCGGATATGCATGGTGTCGGGTTAATCTAGTCTCCGTAAGCATACCACATAGTCTTAAGGAGCCATCGATTCCATCAAGGGCTTGTCTTTGTGTTCTTGACAAACATACCGAGAGCTAGCAATAATTAATTAGATTGTTTGTGGAACTTGAACACCTGTGCAGATGAGACAGGCTACTTCTGCTATCTGAGAGCCTGAGCACAATCCCAGTGTACTGTGACACCTAAAAGGTCTAGGACCGAGGAATGGAGGGAATGGATAAAACAAAAAAAGAATCGAATAAAAAATCGAATAAAAGAAGGAATTGTGAGGCTCCAAGGAGAGTCAAGGAGAGGAATTGAGGGATCCGGTGAGCGGAACATTTTGGGGGACAACATTTGGCGGGGAAGGCCGGCCATCGGAGCACGTGTTTCGTTTCTTTAAAGGGGAATTAAGGGGGAATTTGGGAGGAAATTAAGACAAAAACTGCATACTATAGGAAATAATATGTGTTTCTTTCATTTTTATCTCTTTCTCTATTAGATAATGACTGTCAATGGGACTTTTATAGCAGAAATCAGTTTCCCAGACCTGATAAGGCGCAATATGGAGCCATACCGCCTGCCCCTCCATAGAAATGGAAGTTCCGGCAAAATTTTCCCAACTCGAATTCGTTGATTGGATCTTTCACAGTTGCTTCAATTCAGGAATTTACTTAATCCCTCCAACTTCACTATGTCGACTGTTCCTCCCCCATCTGCCGATCAGGACTACAAGTCCGCCCTCCTACCCCTCCTCATCTCCAACAATGTTCTCTCGTTCGGCACCTATGTCCTGAAGTCCGGCCGTGAATCGCCCTACTTCTTCACCTCTTCCCTCCTGCACACTGCACCTTTGCTGCGCGCCTCCTCTGCTGCATACGCTAGTGTCCTCTCCGCTGAGCCTTTCGTCACTACCAACGCCGACGGCACCGCTCAGCCCAACTTCGACATTATCTTCGGACCTGCGTACAAGGGTATCCCCATCTGCGCATCTGTCACCAACGAGCTCGCTGTGCGGGATTCCCTATCCGGCAAGACTACCTGGGACAATGTGAGCTACTCCTTCAACCGCAAGGAGGCCAAGGCACATGGCGAGGGTGGAAACATTGTCGGTGCCCCGCTGAAGGGCAAGCGGGTCATCATTGTGGACGATGTCATCACTGCTGGCACTGCACTCCGTGAGGCTGTCAGTATTATCGAGAAGGAAGGCGGTATCGTCGCCGGTGTCGTTGTCCTGCTGGATCGGGAGGAACGTGTCAGTGATACCGAGTCCAAAAGCGCCATTGGCGTTGCCCAGCGTGATCTTGGTGGCAAGATCCCCATCCGGTCAGTCATTGGTCTGCACGACCTGATTGAGAAGCTGGGTGATAGCATTGGCGCCGGCGAGATCCAGCGGTTGAAGGATTACCGTGAGCGCTACGGTGCCCAATAGACATCGGCTAGAATCCGCCAAACCAAGGCATGATGTATGAGCAAAGACAACAGGATGGATACCAGGGTATTTTGGAGTCTGAAAATATTATTACTTAAATATTACCATATCCAAAATCGGGAGGCGGGCACATTTCTATATGGACTATTTGACTGGTCGATAATTGATATAACCATATGCTATAAACTAGCTGGCAAATGGCCTTCCTATTTGCCCATCTGGAAAAACATGATATGATGGGCAATCAAAGTGACTCGCACTTTTGATTTTGGCATCGCCCGGGAAGGTTCCTGGCAGACAGTTGATACCAGCGATCAACCAGGGTGTTCAATAGGAACTTAGA